GTGTCGGTGGGTCGGAGAGGGAGAGATGAGGGGTCGGGGGGGCCGACGGGCTCCGTCTGCCCCCATCCCGTCGCTCCAGCCGGGCAAAACTCGGCTCCGAGTTTTTGGGGTTTTTTTTCTTCTTGGCGGTGAAAAGGCTGAGCAGGGCTGCTGCCTCCGTGTTGTCGGCTTTCCCTAGCAACTCGGCTTCTCCCCCCCCCCCCACCTTGTTGTTATTGGTGTTGTTGTTGACGGGTGATACTCTCGGTCCTGTTGTTTCGATCGGCTTTCCAGCGCTCTCCTCTTCCCCCCCCCCCCCCCCCCGGTCCTTTTCTTTGCCGCCGAGCTATAACCAGGTTCCGTCCGAAAGGCCAAAGTGCAGCGTCGGGAGTGGGTACGCCCGTTTATTTCGCGACCTTTTCCTTCGAGCCTTAAAAATGGCCCGTTCCCCTCCCTGAACTTTTCCTACTCCGATGATGGCGAGTGTGGTAGATCGGATTTGCATCAAGCGAAGGAGGGCATCTACATCCCATTACATGCACGGGAGCAGAAAGGCGTATTGGCGTTAACTCTAAAACAAATTGCCGCCACCCAGATTGTCCTCGGATCTCTTTTTGCCTTTTCTTTAGAACGCAATAGTTAAAAAGTGAAACAGCTTGTTTGTTTGTTTTCTTTTTTAACTATCTGGTTTTATCTCTGGTGTCGTTCAAACGGTTTCGTTGCTAGTATCTCCAAATTTCTCGGCGGCGGTACGCATAGGTTCCACTTAGTTTCTGAATGCCCCTCTTTTCTCTCCCCCCCGAAACATAAAAGTGTGAATATTTATAACCGGGTGCACGCGAGGCGTAACTTGCGAGGGTTTTTAATACCTAGATGTCGGCAAGTAGGGAGATACGCTGTCGAACAAGGGGCAGCATCTGAAAACAGATCATTTGGTGCTGCAAACATTTCCTGCGAAGGCACTTCTAACAGCATGCGTTTCCTACTTTTTTTAACCTTGATTTTGGAAAAGCAGTAAAAGTTGAGACGGCAGCAATGAGTGATTTACAAGTGGCTTCTTCAAAAGAATTCCCAGCAGAGATTACACAAAAAAATATCATTTCAGCAACAATAACAAAAGACAGCGGAATAAAGGGAGTGCAGAAAGCCTACTCTGTAACACATTACAAAAATTACATCGGGCTTCTCTTTGTGTGTAAGCTTTGCCTCTGAAATTAAAATACACGGTCCTTTTTAACTGCTTGACAAAGTTAGGTTAGTTTCTTCGCGGACATTTTTGAAGAGGTTCGTTTTTAAGGCTGACACAAATTTCGCAAGAGTAATACTAAGTATGTCTTTCTGGACTGGAAAAAAAGCGAGGCTGTAGTAGGAGCAAGAAAAAAAGAAAACGGCTTCGAATGTTAGCTCTTTAGGAACAGTTCCCTTTCCTCCTTGCAAAGTATCCTGGCATTTTACTAGAGTGATTTACCATGACGACGATATTTTGAAATAAATTCTAAAACGCAGAGACTTTGTAAATCAAGGGCTAAAATATTAAGTTAATATCTGGACAATTTGCGGTAATAATGAGGCCTAATGAGGTTGCTAGAAAGATAAAATGTTATTTACCAAAACACCTGATGGGATAATTTGACTTGCTGTGTTTTACTACTGATGATAAAAAGAATATTGATTGCGAATAAATCACCGCCTCTAAACGCTTGTAAACAATTTGTGTTTGCTCTGCCCACATCAAAGTAAAACTTATGAGATAAAGTGTCTGCCTATCCATATTCTACTATGCGTGGATCAGTTTCCATTCCAGAGTTTAAAGGCTCTTCCAACAGTTAGAAGTTAATGTTTTACACCAGAATCTTCGCGTATGATTTGGGGGGGCGAAGGCGGGGGCGGGGGGGATTGGCTTGTGTGTGGAAAATCTCTTACATTGTAAGTGTCTTCGTAGTGAAGTTGTGCATTCATCTCCCCGGTCTCGTCTCACGCCAACTCCTTTTAAAGGCAGATCTGGGGCCGAAGAAGAATGCTCTGCATGCATTTGTAGTATCCTCCGGGATATTTTGCAGAGAAACGCGACGCTGCGCGCAGGCATGAGTTTGTAACTGAGGTGTAGTACCTGCTTTCTCTGCCTGAGAATTTCGAGGGCACAGCAAATCGTCTCGCCGAGGCGAAGTTGCTGCCTTTCCATCCTTTGGTTTGATTTGGTTTGCGGCGAAAATACGCATAACGCCTGGCGGACCCCAGCTTAGCCCCTCTCTTTTCCCTTCCCTGCAAGAAGGGGGGGATCGTTTGGGAATACCTCTGTCTGATCTAAACGTGAAGAGCCTGGAGCGGGGAGGGCCGAATTTGCCTGCGAAGACCCTTTGCACGGCTCAAAGGCGTCTTCTGGCTCCCGGAGTAGCCTATTCAGGTCTGTTAGAGACGCTAACGAGATAATTGATGTGCTTTTTCCTCTCCGCTTGTCTGAATGTGTTGCAGGGCTCCCAGTACGAGCTGAAAGATAATCCGGGTGTCCACCCTGCTACCTTTGCTGCCCACACCGCCCCCGGCTATTATCCCTACGGACAGTTCCAGTACGGGGACCCGGGGCGGCCCAAAAACGCCACCCGGGAGAGCACCAGCACCCTCAAGGCCTGGCTCAACGAGCACCGCAAGAACCCCTACCCCACCAAGGGCGAGAAGATCATGCTGGCCATCATCACCAAGATGACCCTGACCCAGGTCTCCACCTGGTTCGCCAACGCCCGCCGCCGGCTCAAGAAGGAGAACAAGGTCACCTGGGGCTCCAGGAGTAAGGACCAAGAAGACGCGAATCTCTTCGGGAGTGACAATGAGGGGGACCCCGAGAAGAACGAAGACGACGAGGAAATCGACCTGGAGAGCATAGACATCGACAAGATCGACGAGAACGATGGGGAGCAGAGCAACGAGGAAGAGGAGGAGAAGCCCGAGCTCCTGAGACAAAGCAGCGAAGAGGAGCACTTGGAGAAGGAGAAGGATTTGGCACTGTCGGGCTCCGAAGGGCTGAAACCCAAAGACGCGCTGGCCATGGTGAAGGAGGCCTCTGACAACAGCACGCGAATCATCAGTCCCGGGGGACAGAACAATTTACAGATGCCATCTCACAGCAAACCCAAGATTTGGTCTTTGGCAGAGACGGCGACCAGTCCCGACGGTGCCCTGAAATCCTCTCCCCCTCCGCCCCCTCCTCCCCAGGTTAATCACACTTCCCCACAGATCCAGCATCCCGCTTTTCTCCCTAGCCATGGACTCTACACGTGCCAGATTGGCAAATTTCACAACTGGACAAATGGGGCTTTCCTCACTCAAAGTTCCCTGCTAAATGTGAGGTCCTTTTTGGGAGTAAATCACCACCACGCTGCTCATCATAATCACCACCTCCAGGCCCAGCAACAACCTTCTGTTTTAACAGCAACCCTGGGAGCCCTAAGCAGTGAAAAACCTTCAGAGAGGACCAGTCCCAAACACATAGGTAATGAATGCACCAGGCAGCCACTCCTCCCTCCACCCCCAACACACGCACATGAACTTCTCCTTGAGGAATGGTGTCAGATTCAGCCCTGGTGTAACTGATTGCTTTTAACGGAGTTACAGTTTACCCTAGCGTTGGGGTTTTTTTTTTTTCCTCTTTTTTTTTTTTCTCCTGGAGCATGTTGATTGCATACATTAAGCCCACTTCATGTGGGCTATTACATTCTCAGCCTATACGCCCATCAAATAAGATGAGAATGTAGGAAAAGCGCTGTGAAACATAGTGAGTTTTGCTTCCCTTCCCTCCTTCCTGACCCTCATCTCCCAATAATTTCTATGACAGTCAAAAATGTGGCAAGAAAAGCTTGCGTACTCTTTAAATACTGAAAGTAGGGAACAGTGCTCTACACACAAACACGTATATACCTACACACGTCTGAACAAGAGGGTGAGAGGGAGGTGTGTTCTCTGCACACTGTCCAGATTTTTATTGTTGCTATTCTAAAATGGTTCTCCTGTTTTTGTTGTTTGTTTTTTTTTTCTCCTTCTGTCTTCTTCTAGAAAGAGAAAATGTACCAAGAACTGAATCCCCACCTCAGCCGCTAAAATCGCCCTTCCAGCCTGTCCGTGACAAGTGAGTTTGTTTGTTTGTTTTCACTGCAGGAATGTTACTTATGTGAAACAGAGTGTTTGAATAATAAAGACTAATTATAACACCTAATCATCACCATAATAATACATACAGACAACAAGAACAACACAGAAGTTGCTGTAATCTTTTCAAAGTTAGGCTAAATTGCAATTGTACATAGCCAGCCTGTAACTTTTCTGAAACTTAACAGACCTCAAAGATCTTGTGTTAATTACACCAGTGACAATGATTTCTGTGCAATTAACTAATACTAGGATGCTATAGCAATAGACAGGCAATTATAGGAAAGGATTCTCTCTCTTTTTATTTTTTTTTCTGAAAGATTGTTACGTCTTTTTTTTTTTTTCCCTTCCTCCCTTCCCCCCTGCAGCTCTTTGGCTCAGCAAGAGGGAACACCGAGAATTTTAACAGCTCTCCCTTCCGCTTGATTAAATGGTTTGGTGAAAAAAATATTACAGAGACTGGTATTAAGGACAGAAAAGAAAAAAAAAAAGGAAACGATATAAACGACTCCCATCAATCTCTTTTTGCAATAAGGTGGTGCAAATCCATAAAAGCGATTACACAAATCTGTAGATGGATCCCCTTCTTCATTGTACCATTTCAGATCGTGTTATTCTAACCATTCTTGGATTATTTGTTTGGTAAATGTTTCCCATGTGTTTGTGTTTTTTCTGTATATAGAGTGATTTCAGATTGTAAATAGCGCGTCAGCAAAACTTGTCTAAATCATATATTTTTGTCTAATAAACTAAATGAAATTATGAGCTCTCTTCAGGTATGTATTCTGTTGCTGCAGATCTTATACGTATATTACAAATCTATTCAAACATTTATAACTTGTTTTCTAAAAAGTCAAGTCTTTTTGCCTTTGGGTAGGTGAAACTTAAAATACCAAATCCGAGCTTCTAATGACTCTTGTAGCTATTTTATCGAAAACAAGCTGCGGGCTTCCCTTTTCAGACACGTAGAGTTAAGAAGCTGAGTGAAGTTGGTTCTTGCCTGGTAAAATTAAAGATATTTTTTCAATTGTGATGAATCAGACGTGTCCTGTAGGATCCATTTTCCGAACATAAATTGATCTGACTTCCACTTACATTATAAAATACTTTCTTGAAAATGAAAGGGACAAGTTTCCTCACAGTTACCTAGTGTGTAACTCTGCTGTCCGACCCCGTTCCTAAATTGGATCAAGAGCTTTAATGCTTTGGTATACATTCCGACCGAAGCCGAAAAACCCAATAGATTAGGAAATAGAATTATTTGTAATGATTTACGCTTTAAATAAACACAGAGGAAATATGACCGTGAAAGATTTTTCCCTGGGAGAGTAAGCACAGTCTTAGCAGAAAAAAAGAAAAGGAAAGAAAGAAAAAAAAAGATGGCAGCTCTTGCACTTCCCAGAAGAAAGTTCTGCGATTCCGATCTGTTGGTTAAAAAGAGACTGAAAGAGACAATCTATCGGTTTATAAAGGCATTAATCTTCCAAAGACGGTCCGTTAAAATGTGTAATATTTTGAGTGTTTACTTCTTTTTTCTCCTAAATGAGAACACTAAATGAGCATTGAGGTGCTAATAAGATACCAGATGGTTGTTGATGGTGGAAAATGGAAAGAAGCAGCTGGGAAAGTCATTAAGAAATAATGTGGTGACGCCCTATCCAAACTGAACCAACCTCAGACCAGGACTTGTCGGAAACAAGATGAGATTTTCAAATAAAATATTAATAAAATTCTTGTCAGAGGTCAGAATATTGATCTTGATTTAGCTGCAAAATCATCGCAAGCAAAGAGGGGGCTCGGTAAACTATCGCTTAGGGATCTGTTGACAAAGCAGCGGAGGCGGTAGGCTTCTACTTTTTTTGCGTTTTTTCAGATGGATCAGAGAAACAGATCGGACGAAACAGATTTTGTGCGGGGTATGTGAAGGGCTGTCTCTGAAAATAGACGCATTTTGACATCCTGGGGTTCCCAGCGTAGCATCAATTAGTTCGCTTTCTGGCTTTTAGCTGTTTTGTTTTTCCTAAATCCCAGGCAGTCCCGCGTGGGTAACGGTTCCAACAAAAGAGTATATTACAGTTTTAACCGAACCATAATAACTTGGCTTGCAGGGAGGACGAGGGAGAGGGAAGAGGTTTTGGAAAAAAAATAATAATAAGGGGGGGGGGGAGAGAAAAAAGACTTCACGCCTGTAACGCCGAACGGCGCGTCAGGTCAGCGCTGGTGTAAACCTGACGGAATTGCTTTCTCTCTCCTACCAATTCACAAAAAAAAGTAGCTGCTGCCCCTCGCCCCCTCCCTCAGCCCCGGTTCCCAAATTCCTCGCTGGCGGCACAGCCGGCCCCGAGCAACCCGTCG